GATTTTCTCAGACATTTAGTGTTATCAGAGTAAAACTCAAACAATGTGGGTAAGATTGGTCATCACAGAAAATCAGGAGTGAGATAAAGGCGTTGTCTAATTGTCTCAAAAACTTCCTAGATAAAATAACTAATTTCTCATCACCAATCATCTTTATTATCAACTATTCAATGAATCATTAACTCTACTGCCACCTACATCCATATCATCATCCTTATCCTCATCTCACTACCATGGCGCAATAAGCTACAAATAATGACCAGTCTTTGGCATTATCCTGCCAAAATTAGAGCTTGTCCAGTGAAATCTTTGCCTTGCCAGTCATTTTGACCAGTAATGTTGAGCCAGAAACAAAGTATGACTGAGTTAAAACTAATTTGCAGAGCTCTCAATAATATTTGTAGTAGCTCTTTTACTCTGACGAAGGACTAGCGTCAGAAAGGTCAGTAAGTTTTTTCATCTTTTCACGGTGTATATTTTACCTTTCTATCATTAACATTTGTGGTAGGCAGTTAGTCCTAAAAAGTAGGGGGCTGAATCCACTGGTATTTGTATATAACTTTATTTGGCAATGAATCAATTTTTTGTCAAAATAGCCTGCAGTTTAAGGTGAAGTATCTGGTGATTAACTGCCGGTAGCCACCTTTTATTAAAAGATCTGATTTGGCTGGTCATCATGACCTGCCACTAACAAGCCATTATTTTTAACTTGGCACAATAATTATCATTGTTACCCTCCACCATCAACATCATGTGTAGTTGTTGACTTGAAAGTTTCAACTTCAACAACCACACACATCCTCTTTTCAACCTCTTATAAATGTAACATTTGTAAAATTATGTCTAATTTGTAATTCTTATCTTAGTTCCTTAATGTTGTAAATTAATCAATATTTTATTAAATAATGGCATCTTAATCATCATCATTACACTGCAATACCTAATGGCTTGATCTCTTTGTGCTTTCCTCACTTCTGGCTTCTGATTTCTCTTAGCCAAAATATTTTCCATGGTTGCACCCTGAATAGATCTCTGAAACTTGACATTACGGCGAGTTCTCTTCTTGGACACCTCCTCTTGTGTTCCCTTCTTGTGCTTGCGACGATAAAGCACAGTCCAGGGTACTTCACGGGGGTTACGGCGCATAAGAAGTGCATTGGCGCTCCTTTTGTTTAGAAAGTTAAATACCTGGAAAAGTCACACAATGAACTATTAGAATTTGAGAAACAACTGGGTTTGAAATAACGTCCAATCAATTCACCTTTTTTCATACATCGGTTCACTGGACACAAAGCATCCAACTGAGGCTGAAAGGTTCAAATTTGAATAATCCTTTGAAACTAGCTTGCTGCCTCAAATGAATACTTAGTGTGTGACCAGTGAAGCGATGTATGGATGGTGGTGAATGAAGATGTTCAGCAAAAATTGGCACTTGCAAACAGTGCTCTTGACTGGTCATATGCTGACTAGTCTGATGTTCAATTAACAGCCAATTAAAGCTATAAAACCATATAAATCTATGTACTTCTGCTTTACTAAGTAATAAATATACTGGTTTTTCATTCTCCATGTGGGATGCCCAAATCTGATCAATACAGCCACAATCATCAGTAACTATTTGCAAGTGGAATATGAAAGTAGCAAAACATTTTGATCATAAACTATTCCCTACCTTTCCATCAAGACGGACGTATCTTTTGCCATGGCCTGGGTAGATTTTGTACCCGCTGTAATTGCACAGCTCGAGCCTAAAGAATGACAAAAATGGATGATAAGATTAGACGCCTTTTTCCAAAAAACATACGCGAAAATTTTACAGAAAAAYTTGGCCAGTCATAAAATGAATACCCATTACATTATTGATACGATATGACTGCACGGCAATAGATGTTCTTTCTTTCTAAACATTGAAGTTTTCTGTTTTAAATTTGGTCAAAATTATCGATTACTCGTAAATTCAGAGTAGAATCCATATTGTTTTAGAACACTATTTATACACATGGATTATCATACGACGAGAAAGCAGAATCTACGAAATGATACCACAGCTGTTATAACTATGCATTAGACTTTCTATGTCAAGGTTATTCGTTTTAGATGGATCTTTATTTCGTACAGGATTTAGATGGATTGCATCACTACTTACTTCATTTTTTCGAGATGTTATTCGGGTCGAAGAGGAAGGCTTCCGTTTTACGCATGCGTAAATAGCCACTCGATAGCCCCCATTGGTTTATGGGTAGCATTTTCAAAAAAGCTTGAAAAAATTCAAAAAACTCCTGTAAATTTTCAAAACTTTTTGTATTTTTTCAAAAATAAAGAGACTCTAACGCTAAAAATATATGCTGGTATAAGGATTTACAAGACTCTCTTTCTTTAATATTCTTAAAGTATTCAATAAAGCCAAGCATGGGCTCCCTGTGGTAGAATCCAAGATGGCGGACGTGATGAAGGTTGCTGCAGAACTTTGTGAAAGAGACTCTCGCACCGAGCAAAAACAGTATGGGCAGCTACTCCCCTCCAGGAAAATATCTCCTCTCGAGCCGTTTATAAAGCTGGAGGAATATTTTATGCTGGAACGCGACACAGGAAAATGTAAGCAAACGAACAAACTAGAAGTTTTAATATTTTGTTTCGATTTTCATACTTTCTATTATTTTCGTTCAAAGTTTTTCTCATTCCCTTTAGATGTATCTTTCCAACTAATTGTTGTGTTTCTACAGGCGATAAAAGTATTTGAATCTCATAATCTGCTTCAATTGCAATAACACTGACCATTGGTGTCAGCCAAAAAGAATTCTTCTGAATACATGCAATTCAGCTGATAAACATTCTGCACGAGATAGCAAATGACCTCAAGTGATTACCGATAAACAAAAGTAATAATATTCAAGGGAATGACACATGATCAGAAATGAAAGATAGKGATTAGTCCAATACTCCATTTTACAGTTTCGTTCAGTGACCACGAATAATAGTCTTATGTTGAGGTTGGAGTTTCTGCACATAGCAAAACTATATTTTTCATCATGCACAGCAACTCCAACCTTCAGGCTTGGAACTATTGTTACTGAACAGAACTGTAAAATGGAGTATTCATTAATGGCCTGTTCTGTTAAGACAGATTTACTCTACATGGCTGCCATAGAGAGAGCTACTGAGGATATTTTAAATTCAAGTCATGATACCAGAAAATTGAAGTGCCTTGTTCTGGGCCCAGGGCTTGGAAGATTGGTCAGATTCTGTATTGAGGCAGGAAAGCATTCTGAGGTTGATGTGAGTGTTCATGTTCTAGAGGCAAACCCTGTTGCTGTGGAGTTTTTGAGAAAATCTTTTGGAAAAGAAATTAATGATAAGGTATGACTTATTCTTGCTCAAAGATCATAAAATTTCCAGAAAACATTAGAGGGGGATTGGAATTTCAAAGAGGTGGGGAGGGTCTGAGGAGGGTATATTTGTATAGTTCCAGAAAATATCCACACCTCCACCACAGAGGGAGGTTGGAATTTCCAAGGGGTGGGGAGGGTCTGAGGAGGGTATATTGTGTAGTTCCAGAAAATATCCATACCTCCCCCACAGTAGCCTGCGTGCAGCCGTTTATTATTATGGAGAAATAAACGGCTGCACGCAGGCTACCCCCACAGAGGTAGAATGGAATTCCAAGGGGTAGGGAGGGTCTGAGGAGGGTATATTGTGTAGTTCCAGAAATATCCATACTTCCCCCACAGAGGTGGATTGGAATTTCCAAGGGGTGGGGAGGGTCTGAGGAGAGTATGTTGTGTAGTTCCATAAAATATCCATACCTCCCCCCACAGAGGGGGATTGGAATTTCCAAGGGGTGGGGAGGGTCTGAGGAGAGTATGTTGTGTAGTTCCATAAAATATCCATACCTCCCCCACAGACGGGGATTGGAATTTCTAAGGGGTTGGGAGGGTCTGACGAGAGTATGTTGTGTAGTTCCATAAAATATCCATACCTCCCCCACAGACGGGGATTGGAATTTCCAAGGGGTTGGGAGGGTCTGAGGAGAGTATATTATGTAGTTCCATAAAATATCCATACCTCCCCCCACAGAGGGGAATTGGAATTTCCAAGGGGTGGAGAGAGTCTGAGGAGGGTATATTGTGTAGTTCNTAGTTCCATAAAATATCCATACCTCCCCCCACAGAGGGGAATTGGAATTTCCAAGGGGTGGAGAGAGTCTGAGGAGGGTATATTGTGTAGTTCCAGAAAATACCCATATCTTCCCCACAGAGAGGGATTGGAATTTCCAAGGGGTGGGGAGGGTCTGAYGAGAGTATATTGTGTAGTTCCAGAAAATATCCAAACTTCCCTCGACAAATGGGGATTTAAATTTCCAGTAAGAAGGTCATAATTTTTACCTGACAGATTGTACACTTGTATGAGCCATTTGCCTTTCATCCTAAGTTGAGAATCTGTGACCTGCCATCCGACCTCCAAGGACACTGTGGGTCCTTTGACATTATTGCATCAGGTGTGTGAGAAATACATATATGTTTTGTAATAAATAAATATACAGTATATTCTTCACTTGACTCTGAAGATGATTTCCACTCAGGTTGTCGAAGCTTCAGTCCCATCAAACAGTCCTTCTTAGGATTACATGCACTCGGATGATCATAATACAAATATTGTTACTTCGATAAATAAATAAATAAAAATAATGAATCCATGAACTGATACTATGAAAACTGACCCATTATCATGATTATTATGGTGGTTTTATTGGTGGCATGGGTGGCATAGTGGTTTATCGCTCGCTTCTCACCGCTGTGTTCCAGGTTCAAGCTCCAGTTCAGACTGGATCACATGTGAGTTGAGTTCATTTAATGTGTCATTTTCTCCCTTTGTCACAAGGATTTTTCTATGGTTCTCCTGTTTCCTCCCTCTGTAAAAATCAACATGAGTTGAGTGTTGTATGTTTTTAATATAGAATGTAGTGGTAGTGCGTATGGAGGGAACCCCATGGAAGAGTCCCATATGGGGAGTGGTGTGGGTTTTTTTAATTTTCCTATTTCCTATAAGCATATTTACTGTATCTTATATTTTTCACTTCCTAATTCCTATTATCCATAACATCCCATTTACTATTTAAACCCTTTTTCCCACTTTTTTTTTTCCTTTTTTCCTTCCCTTTTTTCGCATTAGAATTGCTTGGGTGCTTTGGAGATGATGAATTCCTTCCAGAAYTCACTTCAACATTATACAAGATTTTTCCGAAACCAGGAAGCGGCATCATGATCCCAGATACCTGGACAAACTACCTTGTACCAGTTTCTTGTCCAACGACTTACAACTACCTCACCACAAGTAAAAAGTCCCTAAATGCTGGGTACACCATGGGACTCCCAAAAGACTGTACTTTCCTGTCAAACACAAAAGCAGCCTGGACTGGGGACTGTAAGAACTTAGACATGAAGTACAGTTGTGATCTACATTTTAATCTCGATTCAAAGGATTGGACCTCTGCTGTTTCTCTTGAGAATAACCAAACTATGTCTCCTTTTAGTGAAACACTTTCAAAAGCATCAGTAAGCCAATCACAGCTTGAAGATTTGTCAGCAATTGGTGATTGCCATAGCAACACTCACTTTTTGCAGTCTGAACGAGACCCTAAACATTTCCTGTACGACTCTGAATTACCATGTGAGAATGATGACAAGATCATAGAGGTAGCCCATGCCGACGTTAAAGATAACGACAGTGGCAAAGAACATGGGACAAAGAAGAACACTCCTAATATTTTGAGGCAGACAGACACATATATTCATGGCTTTATTGGTTATTTCACATCAGCTCTTTACAAAGACATTATAATTGATACACGGCATACATCTGGACACAGAAATTCATTTCACYGGGAGTGTTACTTTCTCCCACTTTATAAGCCAGTTCTTGTCGAACCTGGTACTCAAGTCAAGATTAGGATGAACAGAAATTGTGAAGAGTACCTAAAAGATGGATTGTATTCAGGACTAAAACTATGGTACGAATGGCAAGTATTAATAGGGCAAAAAAATGATATTAACTTTTCAAATGTATCTGAAAACAAGCCTAAACTTGAAGACGAAAAGGTAAAATTCAACGACCAACCAGCTAATTCAGGTTTTCTTCACCATGACAAGCATAGCATACCAAGAATATCAAAGGAATTCAGCTTAGAAGATTCAAGCTTTGACGAAGAATTTACATTTTGCAAGGAAAGAGCCAGACAATGCTCAATGCATAAATTTTCTGTACAAAATGGAAATGGTGAATCTGATGCTGTATATTTAACCTGGGACAAAACATAGTTTTGAAATTAGGCATTTGTTTCATTCAATTTCACGTTTTCTTATTCAGAAAGCTTTAGCTGTGTCACGGGGTCGATCTAGCATTTTACGGCTTACCCCGAAGATGAATGTCAATTTCAGTGGCGTAACCAGGGATCTTGCAGGGGAGGTGCACAGGCAATGATTTGCAGAACCAAAAAAAAAAAGGTAGCAAAAAAAAAAAAAACAGAACCAAAATGAAAAAAAAGTAGAACAAAAAAAACCCTCTAAAATATGCAGATGAAAAGTGGTCTTCATTCAATCGAAAAACATTTACATGCAATTTTAAAACAAAAGGAGATAGATGAGCGGACCTTAAGCTTTTATGGGGGGGAGAGTGAAAGAGCACCCTGTGCTCCCCCTGGTTACGGCCCTGAATTTTACATTCACAGAGAAGATGTTTCCCACAATTCTCGTGGAAATCCTTTGCAGCAAAGGCTCCCTGTGGCAGCTCTGAAGATACCTTGGGCCTGGGTGGCTTACACGTATCGTAAAGAAGGTATCGTTTTCCTCTTAAAGTGAATCGACCCTTTTTTAGAACCAGTTCTAACCATCCCATCCTTGATTATCGTGGATTTTACTTCAGTCAATTTACAGCCTTGTGACTCTGAGGGTTTTTTCACGCAGTTGATATATTTGTCGATCACCTTCTCGTAGGAATCCAACGGGGCGCTTCCTTGTGAGAGTATCTTGAAGTGAAAATCCTTGACCTTAAACCGTGCCCCTAGTTCTTTTTGGGCCTTTTGTCGAAGCCTGAGTAGTTCTTGTCTTCCTATCATGTATGCTGTAGCTTGGCCAGGCGTGCTTTGGTACCGTACAACCTCCTTCAAAACCACATCTCCTGTAGCCCAAGCAAAATCTTCGAATTTCTGGATTGCTTGATGTTGCGTCATGTTTCTGTAGTGTAGACCTGTGTCTACAACCAGTCGCAGAGCTCGCCATATCTGAAAAAAATGATAATATTCGACGCAGTTGTCTGACTTAGGACAGCCCTGCAGAGGTTGTTTCAGGGTTCAATCTGTGAGTTAGCCTGCCATGCCCTGACTTAGATCAGCCCAGAGGTTGTTTCAGGGTTCAATCTGTGAGTTATCCATGCTCTGACTTAGATCAGCCCAGAGGTTGTTTCAGGGTTCAATCTGTGAGTTATCCATGCCCTGACTTAGATCAGCCTAGAGGTTGTTTCAGGGTTCAATAAAATTGAAGTATGATACATACCTGCCATTTTAGCATTCCATATCTGTAGAGCGGTTCATCATTGTACAGATCAGTGTCTTGAGCTATCAAAGGATTCTCAGCATATAGTCCCCAGCCCTCGTCAATAGCATTGTACGAGCCACTAGTTTCGTACTGGATCCAACTTATCAAATCGTTACAGGGGTCCATGAAGTTTTCAACTTGACCTTGAAGCTGAGATAAAAAATTATGTAAATGTGCTGCATGTAACGTCATAGCCGCCATATGGGGTGCCGTGTTGCATGGTTGACTTTCGAAACGAAAGATTTGGTCATTTTTTATATCAACTAAAATGATGACCAAATTATAAGGTGTCTTCGTATTGTATACTATGTACTTCAAGCTCTATTTCATATAAGTAGCATTCATATCAGGGAACTTTACCAATACTATTGTTAGACGCCGCAGAGAGGCGCGCGCTATATTTCGTTTCAAGAATTTGCATACTAATTGGGACAACCATGAATTTAGTTTTTTAGCTTAATTTCATTTTGTCTTCCGTCTATTGCGTTATCCAAATTCAATTTATTTTATCGACAATCTCATTATATTGTACTTTTGTTTCAATTATTCTCGCGCGCGCCTCGGTCTTTTCTTTTCTTTTTAAACGTCTATTTTAAGGCATTTTTTAGGCAGTTATACCATATAGATTATATTTTTCATATATATATCCCATATACTGTATATATACTCTACGTAAAGTGCTACACATTCGATCCTTAAAATGCAAATGAACCCTTTGACAATACATTCAGTACTGGTTCTTCATAAAGTAAATAGTTGATTGGTAAAATATTTCTTGATTTGAGTGATGCGTTTCCAACTGGAAATTCAGAATATATATAGTTAACCTGTAAATGATGACCAGGCATGACCTCGTGGGCGTTGATGCTCCAATCCTCGTACTTCGGTCCAGGCTTGTCCAGGAAGAATGGTATGAAGTAAGTCGAAGTTCCCTCGCACGCCGCGTCAGAGTACAAGTAACTCTGCGCGCCACTTGTTGGGTTGAAGTCTGGTTGGAGCTCAACTGGACAACTTGGAGTGGTCTTGTATTTACCAGTGAAGTAGAACATGTTGAATACTTTTGCCTCTAGCATAGACATGACCTAAGACAAGTAAAACGCGGAGTCAAAGCAATGGTCCCTGTTTAGAAATAGACCATTTTAGCTAGGGCGTAACGTTTTCCCATTTCATACCAAGTGTCATTCTCTAGAGATTAAGATTCTTTGTTTGAGAGTGATATCCATACTGTCCTTGAACAAAGRAAATGACACTCTTGGGAATGACAATCGTGGTTTGAAATGAGAAAACATCCAGTTGATCTGAGAAAAAACCGTCATTTAAATTTGAAAGATTACTTGGAGCTCTGTAGAGATCCGTAGAGCTCTGTACACTACGACAGTCAGGAGAGAATGAGCAATTTCACGTTTTTATTTATTTCAATACGTTAGTGATACATAATTGTAAATTTTCATTCATTTATTTTTATAATTAAGCACTATTGGGCTTTTTATGGAAATAGGGCTATATAAATAAATAAAGTTATTATTATTATTATTATTATTATTTTACTTATCGTGCTTTGCGAGCCCGTGTCGCACACCACCTGGCTGCAAATGTAATATTGATTCGATGTCAAACAAGGTAGTTTCTTTTAGACTTATTTATGAAGCATGGTTTTTGAGTTAGGAATGTGATTTTTTTGTATTTTAGCCAGAAAACATAATAGCACAAAAATTCCATTTAATCTCACATCGGGTTTCGGCATGCAATCTACTAGCTCTTTTCTTTCCATCCCCCACTCGCCTTAGTCTTCCTCGTTTTCACCACAGGATACCCATCCCTCTSGAACAGCAACAAAAACCAAACCAACRAAAACCTTAGTAGCCTTAATTTACTCGTCCGTACACTTGGATTTTTGGAAGGCTACTTCTCTTGCTTTTTCTCTCTCTCTCTCTCGTCCCCACTCCTCCTCCTCTCTCGTTCCTAGTTCTTCTCTGCCCTATATTGTAACACAGGAATCCCAACAGAGAATATAAGTGATTGCCCATTTAAGGTGACTGCCTACTTTTGGAAAAAATATTAAACTTTTCTCAAAACTTCAATTTTCCGAATTGAAATTTAACACTGATTCCAAATCTGGAAAGAAAAATTGGGTGTCCCGAGCTTGTTTTYGTGATAATCAGCATTTAATGGAAGCCTACGCGCGAGCTTTTTGAGCAAAAATTGCGCCACCGRAAGTGATTGGAAAAAAATTAGTTATTTGTAGACTATATGTTYGTACGAATGAAGGCTAGTCAATCATTCTACAATAATACATAGATATTTTCGACAAAAAGACAAAGAGATCCATTGATTTGTCATATTTTGTAGTTTCGGTGCTCTTAAAAAATCTCACCAGTAAATTCGAACAAAAATCCCTACAAAAAACGGCTCAAATCGAACGTTCAAAAGTGGGCAGTCACCTTGAGATCTMCTTTAGTTAAAATAGGTGACATACGATCATTACAACCTCACCTGTCTCGCTTCAGAGAACCACTTGCTCATCGCTTTCCACCTTACCGGGCAGTACTTCTCTGCTGTCTTTACAGACACGCAATYATTGTGCGCGTTCTTATCTGACTCGTTCTTGGGTATAGGTAGATCATTGTAATACATGTCGGGATCGTTCAGCCTTTGTATGAAGTACTGCTTGGCGAGAGAGTCATTGGTCTGYCCAGTTACCTCGCGCGCTATTTTGAGTACCTGAATAACAAAACTACGTCAGAGTTTTCAGTAGCCTGCGTCACATCCGGAATTTTCTTCGTGAATTGATGGGTTGCAAGCATTCCCAAGAGAGTTAATAGACAAAAACATGACGGCCATTGTGGTACCGTTAACAATGGATGCTAATGAGAAACCTTTTGTTAAATGGTACCAACATGGCCGCGATGACGTAACGTGCAAACGAAGAATACCGTAGRCTAGGTTTTCAGTAAAGTGCATTTCATATATCCGTGACAAACTTTGTAAGAAATTGCACAAATTAGTAAATTCAGTAGAGCTCAGTAGACCTACAAAACTTTGCACTAATTTGTACGATTGTGTTAGATAGCGTTTTCACGGATATACGGAGTACACTGTAGTAAAGCCTTTTATTCTCTGGTAACACAAGTGTAAACGCAAGCCCGTAGACAAGGAAGTAAGCGTTTTGATCCTTTGCGTCTCTCATTGAAAACTAAGGCTGTACTTTTAGTCTTTGGGTACGAGAATCTCTTAGCTATAATTGAAATTTATCAGTGCGCGTGTGTGCGGTTCATATACCAATGAATAATTTGATTTTAAGATGTGATGATCGCTGTCAAAAGTATTAAAATGTAAAGAAATAAATTYTTTKCYCGGAATTCACTCTCATGYGCGCCCGCGATACTTTGACAGTTAYCATCACATCTTCGAATCCAAGCTCAGTTYGTGGTTTAAGRCCCGGCCACCCAACACTCAGGGTCTAATGACTGAGGAGAAGGTGCTGCCTTGGTAATTACATCGGCAAATGGTTAGACCTTCACGTAGCTCAGATAAGGATGTTAAGGCCCTGTCTGCTTTCACATTGAGGTGCTGGGGTCTTAAAGTAGTTGAGGAGAAGGTGCTGCCTTTGTAATTACATCTGCAAACGGTTAGACCTTCAAGTGGCTCGGATAACCACGTTAATGGAGATCCCGTCCCTAATTAACTAGAGACGTTAACAGAGGACCACAAGCTTGAATTGCTGTCAAGTGCTATCTTCTATAAACAAAGTTGATAGGCCTTGTATTTCCTCATGGGAATAGTAATACAATTAGTGCTAATTAATTGAACAAAAGAAAGTGTGCAAGGGAGTCTGGTAATAGAGGTTAATGATGCCATCATGCAAACGTCCTATTTTTATTGGCCTATGTAATATTTTGGGAAACCTGTGGAGTAAATTTCATCGATTTTTAAATATATGCGTTGGGATACCTGTGGATGAAGGTCATTGATTGAATTTATACATATTGGGATACCTGTGRATAAAGTTCATTGACCATCTTCACTCCAATGTCGTGTACTTGATCTGGTGTCAAGTCATTAGTCGTAAAGTAGGACATGATATTCTCGTAGGCTTTGGATCCATTCAACCTCTCCCCCGTGGGGAGTCTCTGCTTGGTCGGTCTTGTTTTGTCAGSTATTCCATTAACATAGACATATGGCAGAGGAAGACTTGATAAACCGCTGGACACTGTACTGGGGACGCAGTGTGTTTTGTATTCATTCTCCAAGTACCTGGTTTTGTTAAGATATATTCTTTAGGTTTTCTTGCACCCATTCCTCCTAATGTTTGACGRTMGGTTCACTAGTCAAACACAAAGCATTCAGTCGAGATTGCAAGGTTCAAATTTGAATAATCCTTTGAAAGTACCTTGGCGCCTCGCTTGAGCGCTTTGTGTTTCACSAGTGAACCAATGTATGGAAAATGGTAAATAGGAATCCAGAACAGAACAGCAGGTTAAAAAGATGAAAGATATAGAAACTTATCTGTAAAATGTTTTGAAGCAGTAAACTGACGCCAACATTTCGCGTCACCATGACTMATGTCAGAAAATTGCTCCCAAAGTAAAATAAAAGACAAGATTACCGATTTAGATTAAGTTTTAGACTGACATGAACCATTAAGAAAGATTTCCAAAGATRTCGACGATAAGAACGCAATCGCTAGCTTGTTCAACTCAACAGAAGTCAGACTTATTGACAACTAGTATTCGAATATGTAAACTTATAATAGCAATAAAAATTTAGGAGACTAAAATCACTATCTCATTGACGTCTAAAGGGTTCAGTAAAAGGTCTTAAAAGATAAGGCATTCTTACATCATATGTCACGCAACTTAGAGTGGATTTTGTGCGACTGTGAAGCGTCAGCCGGTCACGCGWTACTGAATTGACTTTTTATTGGGAGGCCATTTTAGTTACAACATGACGCACCGTGTACGTGATGTAGGTCAGTACCGACGTTGACCATTCTAGAGCAGTTTCCGCATGACTGTGAAAAGCTCAGTGCGTTAAGCGTGCCGTGCAGTGACCGGGATGTTTTCTAGAATTTCAATTGGCTGATTTTTTCCCGCGTAATGCATGTGCTTGGTCTGGCAGTGCCGTGATCTTGGCGTGACCATGTCAACGCCGTGTTTGTGCCGTGTTCCGGGTATTTGATTGGATGGAGAGCATATTCTTGAGCAATGTGATTGGTCTGGAGTATCCCTTGCCGTGTCATGACCGTGTTCGTGCCGTGAACTTTTCACAGTCATACGAAAACTGCTATATGAAAACCATTCTCATGAGAAGCTACTTTGAATGTTACGACATTTCGTAGATCGAGCAGTTTTCGTATGACTGTAAAAAAAGTCGGTGCCGTATGGGCAGTGCCGCGACCGTGATTTTTTCTGGAATTTTGACTTTGGAGGACTTTGTTCTCGCGCAGTGTAATTGGTCTGGTACAGYTGCTGGTAGTGCCGTGACCTTGGCGTGACCGTGTTCGTGCCGTGTTACGTTCGTGGCGTGTTCGTGCCGTGATGTTCCGGCATTTGATTGGATGGAACCGTCAATTCTGCACTAACTTGTCCATGTATTAGTATAATGGCCGGGTAGCTAGTAGCCACAAATAATTCACTTACCTTAGCAGAGTATTAATGGGTCTTCCCAGATACAACAAAACGAACTTTCTTAGTGAATCACTCACGCCTTCATCGTACTTATGTCGCCATAACAACAGCTGTGCTATGCTTTCTTGCATTTTCGAAAGAAATGAGTGTTGAAGAAGAGGATATACATAGYGTTCGTCAAAAATACCTAAAATTACAAAAGAAAACAACGAAAAGTCGATTTTTTAAAGACGCATACATCCAGGTCACGTGACGCTTTCCCGCCGTATTGGATATGAAATGCGGTTTTTAGCCGATACTATTGTATGAGAAGCCATTCTGGTGCTCGGGAAATCTAAAAGTCAATTCACCTTTTCGGCGCCAACCGTCACGGGGTATAAAATGTTTTAGATTGTGTTACGGTCACCAAAAAGTTCGGACGTTGTTCTCGAATTTCCGTACAAATGTACTGACTCTAAATGAACTATTTACTTGGTTCATGTTTAGTTAGTTCTCTAAATACAAATAAATAATCATTTTTCTAGCTTGATTGAAGCTTTTCTTACTGCTGTTAAGAGAGCTAACTAAAGAAATGGCAAAACCATTTGAATATCGGAAATGGAGAAGCCATTTCAATGTTGCGGGATGGGAAGCCATTTCAATGTCGTGAGCCGGATGGGAATGTATTTCAATGTTGAAAAATGGAAAGCCATTATGCAATCTGCTCTATTCAATCAAAATATTACAGATAATCTTATCAAGAGAAAATGAACAAAGACTCCTTTGGATATCCATAAAAATAGCCTTTTAAACGTTATAACGTGTCGGGAATTCTGATATCCAAAGCAAATAGTGCTGGAAGAGTCCTTCTCTGAGGGCAGGCTATATGCTGGTGAGAGTCGGTCAACTAAAGTGATTTTTAACCCTTAAAGGTACCAATTACTATCTATGATCTAAGTGACAGAAGTCAGATGATGAACCAAAAATAAATATACAACTAAACTATAACTGCCTATTTGACAGTCATTAATATAAATCTCGGGTATCTTATTACCTGAGAAGCACCCTAAGAGGTGCCAGCTTACTTTCTGGTGGTCCTTTTCATTTTGTGATACCCTAAGAGGTATGACGAGCATCCCGACGACTTGGAGTACCCTCCCCCCAACGGCATGTTAACTATAAAAATGATCGCATTTGCTATCCAATATGGCGACAAGATCAACCATGACCGAAAACAATAGTCATAAGACAGGCACATTGTCAATAGAAGTACCAAAGTTTCATACCTTGATAAGACAAATGAACGTATAAAATATCTATTACCAAAGTACTGATGGCGATCTGACTCGCGATCCATGAATGTGTCAAGCTAAAACGACGTTTATAGTCTCCTCTTAGATCACCGGATAAGCAACCTTTCTGATGTCAGGTCTTTYGAGGGGTTTTTTAGGCTCTCCTGTTTTCCTCCTTCCCTAAAACTCTGACTTAGATCAGCCCAGAGGTTGTTTCAGGGTTCTATCTGTGAGTTAGTCATGCCCTGACTTAGATCAGCATAGAGGTTGTTTCAGGGTTTAATCTGTGAGTTAGCCATGCCCTGACTTAGATTAGCCCAGAGGTTGTTTCAGGGTTCTATCTGTGAGTTAGCCATGCCCTGACTTAGATCGCGCAGAGGTTGTTTCAGGGTTTGATCTGTGAGTTAGCCATGCCCTGACTTAGATCAGCCCAGAGTTTGTTTCAGGGTTCAATCTGTGAGATCAAGAGAATATTCTCTTGGTGAGATCTCATCTAGTGACCTAGATAATACCAAAAACAAAAAACAAAACAACAAAAAAAAAAACAACAATAGCAACAACAACAATGTGAAATACTGAAATATACGGACGGTTTCTGCTTACCTTCCTCTCCTTTGCGATAAACGTTCCCATATTTCAGAATTAAAGCCTGCAATCCAGCATAACAACTTTCTTGCGTCCCAACCATCCCGGCCTTTACCCCAAATTTTAAATTCTCGATGTAACGAAAGAAAGTTTCATTCACTTCTTTCAGCTTCTCTTCCAATTCTTCAAAGTCTTTTACATTTGAAGGTTTAAAATTCTGCAAGTTATTTTCAATATAGTACGGCATATCACAGATAGGGTTATAACAAAAACTGTCTGGCCCCATCATCCAGTCTCCATTATAATAATTCCCTGCGTATGGGGTCGAAAATACAAATTTCACGAAGAACGTTAATTGGAAGAAAGCTTTGATTTCTCTCTCTTTCATCCTATCAAAATTTACTTTAGTGTTTTTTATTTCCTGGTAGAGTCTTCTCGCGGTATCGGTTCGAAGTTTAATCTTTTCAGGAGAAGGGTCGTAAGATTTGTATTTCTGCTTCAATTCTTTGACAGAGATTCCTTCTGTCTTGGTGAAGTATCTTTCTGGATGCATCTCAAAATAAGTGTCCTTCGCTTTCTGCAACAACTTTGGAAGCCCAACTCTTTTAGCTTCCTCGGAATAGTCACAACTGGTTTTTACCGATTTGGCTTCTGGTCTTTTATTTCCAGTGGCAAAAAATATTATCCCAGCAATGAAGAAGACGAAGCTTAGGACTCCAAGAACGATGACAATGATGAGAACTTTTTTCTTTGTCATTTTGGGTGACTCCAACCTGAAAAAAAAAGTATTGTTCAATATTTAGCATAATATTTGGATTTATCTTTCATTTAAAATAGATAATTGTAGAGGTTGAATCGTTTATCAATGAGATGATTTATTAGGAAGGCCATTTCTGGTGAATAAATTTTCAATTCTTGTTCAGCCGACTCCGATTTAGTGGCTGTATATTATTCAGTTGTTGTAGCCAGACATCTTAAACGGAAAAGCATTGTTTTTAACTATTGAAACTCTTGAAAACTTAACTCTAAAGTCGGGTTCAACAYTTTTTTAGTCTTGAAAGTAAATTTGCAGTTTTAAAGAATTTTGAAAGTTTGGTAAATCAAAGCGAAACAAATCAAGAGAAAATTAAATATTCAGTTGTTTCTTCTACATATATAAAGGAAGGCACTGAGAGAGTGAAAACCACAAATACTAATATTCATGAGTTAATATTAATTTGATACCTTAAAATCATGAAAATAACTGTATGAAAAAATTGGAATATTCTTCTCGGTTTAAAAAAAGTGTTTATACTTACCCGAAAGATCGCTTTTGAATCAGAAAAAAAGTTTAAAAAAGCCTACATCAAATCTACAAAACTCATCTTACAATGGCGAGGATACTAACAAAAACTTCTGAGCTACACATGACAGTTTCCAGTTTCCCGTTTATTTTAAAAGCTGAACTCTTTTCCTTCCCAAGTTGAATATGAATATATACCCTGTAGTTTCAAGTGATTTATAGTCTATGTTTTTAACTAAAACCCAGCCGTCAAAATCAATTTGTCAGGAAAACTAAAAGGCGTGTTTCCGAAAAGATGGCTCCCAATCGTCAAGTGGTCTGTTGTTCGAGTAATATTGTCGATAACAACTCATTTTCCAAATGTGTTTATTTTAGGTGCTAAAGTTTATTTAAGGGCTATCCTGTACTTAACCACCACTATAAGGAAGTTTTTCTATTGTGACGAAGTTGATTCCTTGAATTTTACTCTTGTTCGGGAGAGTAAGTTTTATTTTATCTATTTTTAAAATCTTCACTTTAATCACATTAAAAATATCTTTGAAGGGTGACAAGCCTCGACAAAAGCCAAAATAAATTGTTTGAAAAACTGTATGATTATCAAATTATATGTAATGAGTATTTCTATCTTTTTCGTTCTTTTTGCATTTGGAAATTTTCAAAGTTTTTGCTCAGTATATTTTGCTAGTTTATAAACATAAATTTTGAAATTCTAGGTGAAACCAAACGGCGATACAATAAATCAGACGAGAGTGTCATGTTTGGTAAATACAGGAAAATTGAGAGAATTCAACAATGGAGTCTCATGCATTTTCAAAGAAACGATTTATCAAGGAAAAAGTTTGAGTTAAGTTTTGTGTTGCTGCTATTTTTGGAGCCCACCCACATCTTAGTAACATTCCTTTGAAAGTCCTACTAACTCTCAATTACACTTACAATTTAATATTCCCGTAGCCTGCGTCACATACGGAATTTTCTTCGTATTTATATTATTTTTTTAATATTCCCGCAACATGGAAATTCTTTTCAGAATTTACCTAAAAATAATTTTGCAAAACATATATAARAAAACAAACTGAGTATTTCAAATAATTGAATTGCTTAATAGTATATATATATATAACGCGTAGAGTATTTAAGAACAGAATTCATTCTGATAAAAGGCTGTCACTAGTTATAGCCGAAACGGACACGAGTGCGCATGCTCTGAATCCGTATGCAAATTATTCAAAACATATGGTAAACTTGACTTTCAAACATGCCTGATAAATTGGACTTCACAAAATGTCAAAACTTAGTGTCCATGCTTGAAACTTAAGGGTAATTCTTTCATATTGTGTTTGTTAATACMGTATCTTGGTCTGCAAAAGTATACTCGCGAAATTTTTTGTATACTTGGAGAAAACAAACATTTATTTTCTCACTCAAACTTTTCAAAATTCTTAGAGAACGTGCTGAAGAGCACGCATGAGCAAACGTTTTTCCCTGGTGTCGCCGAAACGTCGTGTTCTTAAATCTACGCGTTTTATCCGTAATCTTATCAATARATTTAATAAATTGCTTWATCTTTTGACTACTAGTATTTTTTWAAATAGTAATCTCAAAAACAAATGATAGAATAGAACATTCATTTTACGCGTCATAGTGCCCGGCAAAAATCGAAGTTGTACGTTGATTTCGTAATAATCAAAATATGAGAAACTGGGCGTCCTGTGGTGYTTGTTACCGCAAAGGATTAGTAACCATAAAATTGTTATTTCGGTCTCAGTTTAGTTGATATTGTTTTTTATTACATTTGAAAGGATGAGGGAACGATAAATCTTTAAAGCTTTTCAATACTATACTATAAATGAATATTAAGCTTCGTGGGCGTCCTGTGGTGTTAGTGACCGCGAGGGATTAATAGCGATCAAAATATTATTCCAGTCCCAGTTCCCATTTTAGTTGATATTATTATTCCATCTTCAGTTTGCTGAGTAGATATTGTTTGCTATTGTGTTCGACAGGATGAGAGTACAATAAATCTTGAAAGCCACATTTAGCGCAATATTAGATTTATAGCTCATGTCTTTACCATGTGGGGGTCTATTTACCCCTATTCATTAACTCTGTTTTCCACCTTCTTGAGATAGATGAAGAGTGGTTGTCGATTGAACACGATGTAGAAAGGATAGAAGCTTCAGGAAATTATGATAAATGATCACCAATAGACCATTTTAAATCAGTACTGAAACTTTGAAACTGTGCCCAGATAAGCGTTGGTTTCTCGTTTGAGGTCGGCCAATATCGACCGTATTGTATTACAGCCAAAATATTGCGTTTCTAATTTTCATTACTGCGTGTGGCATTCGCCTTGATGAAGAATTGTGTTCAGTTTAGTCCATTAAATTTAAAGTTAAATAACGATCATTACTCGAGGGCAAAATCACTACTAAGATTAAATGGTTTGTTGAAGTTTGTTGAAGTTTTAAAATAAAATAATGGCAGGAAAAATATCTAAGGGAAAATTTATTGTATGTACTAGCTTAACTGTAGGGAAAATATCGAGTCCACAACTGAAGTTTAGAAAGCAAAGAGGTGGTTATTATAGGTGTCCATTTTAGCACGTCACAGTAATTGTAAAGACTACGTTGTGTAGCTCTCGTAGAAGCTTTGACAGTCCCGGGCTCAGTCAACATTCTACTGTACTCTGTTTGGTAAAGACGACGTGGTTCGACCTGACTGAGTTACAATATTATATACATCATGAAGGCTGAAGGTTTCTGCACGTCAGTAACAGGTGACATAATCTATAGATTGAAATATTGGAAATGCGGATTGCTTGAATTTTTGCAGCTATACATTTGTATATTGCATCTTGGTAACCAGATGGAGAAGAGAATATTAAGTTAATTAATATTCTCTTGCTTGAATTTAAGTCTCATCCTCGTAACTACGCGTATGATGACTGACGGTTGTTCAACTCGAATTTCAAAAATTACCGCCATCATTTGCTTYGATACACTTTTCAAAAGAATTGCTTTCGCGACAAAAAACTTGCGCAGAAATTTCCTACAATTTGCGGCATGGAGAGCGCGCTGGCGCTATCACTAAAACAGTTTCGCGCTAACACTAATCGAAAAAGCTACATAGTAATTAGTTTTTGAGGCTGATGATAATATTTCGCGACTTTTCGTCTCTGTCATGTCGGAAGTTCTTTCACAGCTTGGACGGCTAACGAATCATATCAGTGTTAAACTTATTTTAAWTTATGAGTTTAAAAACCCTAAATTCAATAACATGAGAGTCGATAAAAGTATACAGAAAACAAATAAACACAAGATAATTGAAAGGGAAGTACTTAAATAAGGGGACTACTTTTTCAAACACGAAGCGTCATCAAAAAGTTAAAGAAAATTAAAATATGGAGTTTCGGGTTTGAAATCATCAAGGAAAAATCCGTTTTAATGATGAAAATCTAATTACCCTCATAAGATATTTTAGTGGGAGAGGATTAGTTTAATAGGATTATTTGCCGTAGATTTGATGCCATGAACTATAAGCCCATCTTCCAGTCTGATACGTTGAAGATTACCATCTCACCGACTATAATGTACGATCAAAATGAGTGAAATTCAAAACCACTACTCTCGCTCATTTTCTGGTTTATTCAAGTATTTTATCTCGAAAAATTTGTCATTGAAATCATAAAATCGTTGCTATACTATTTTTTCTCAAGAAAAATATTCATAGGAAATAAAAAATAAATAAATAAAATAAGAAAATTGTTCTCAAAAGCGAGGCATTTTCAGTGGCTTCCTAACTTGAAAAGGTTTTTCTATAGTCGAAAAAGAAATTAAATCTTTACTCAGAGTTTGTCTTTAAAACCAAGACAATATGAAGTAATATTTTCTTGCTTTAAACGTAATAACTGAAATGCTACTTTAATGCCCCTCCAGCAAAAGCTAAAAATGCTACAAAAATAGAACGAATTATAAATTGAATTTTGCATTTTTTTGACTCACCTTTCAAAGGCTACCCTCGGAAGCCGAAACATTTTGGTGCTCATTTGGTATGGCTGAGTATGAACGAGAAAGTCAGACGTATTTTGTTTATGGATTTTTAGATGTCACTACATTTCATAGCTTAATATCCGTTGTAATTGAGCTACCATCTCGAGGCACCTCAATATACGACTGGAACTAATCTTATTGATTATTCCGAAGTCATGTTACACTTTGCAAGTTCATTTGAAGGGCTTTTTAGCCGTACGTCTCCCCCGGCACCTAGATATTTTGATGATTTATCGTGATCTTTTGAAGATTATCAAATTGGTTCCATATATTAAGATCTTCCCTTGCCGCAGGTCTCAGTTTTTTCCCTAAGTAACTCTATTTTTTCTCGACAAGAAATCTACAGGGGGAAAATAGAGCGATAACTTTGCAATCATGTTGTATGTGAGGCTAATGGAAAAATAGCAACAAAAAAAAACAACAAAACAACAACAACAACAACAAAACAACAAAAAGACAAAACAACAACAACAATTTTTCTCTATATAACTTGTGCCATCTCTATTTTATTTTCCTGTCATCAGTCTCGCATCCAAGATAGATAAGTTTCTCCTGTGCTACAATGCTATACGACAGAAAATGGTATTTTGGTATGGAAAGTTTTAGCATATAGAAGTTTAATAGTGCACCGTCATGTGATAACAGCCACGAAAGAGGCACAAACCTTTTCCCCCTGGAAGACTGAATTCTTTCTCATGTAAACTAGATTAGACCAGATTCAATTGTTCCTGCCTCCAGTCATGGCTGCTATCACGTGATAGGAGTTCAAAGCCTCTATTTAATCTTTTTGATTCATTTCCGACACCAAAAGCTTTTACCCGAGGAGCAGATTAATAATAACGAAGAAAGTGACAGGTCTCATCAAACTAGGTATTGTATGTAACGGTAATTTGGCTATTCAGGGCGTAAAATTAATAAAAATTATGTTGGCAGAAAGAAAGGCTGGCTTACTTTTATTTTGTTTTTCGAGTGCTAGGTAGTCGAATTCATCCAATCACTGTTCAGCACGAAATGGACTCGACCGCGTGCAATTCGTTCAATCTACAGCATAAAGCACGAAAAAACTCCGCTTTATCTAATCAGTATTATGCACAAAATTTGTCCAATCTTAGTACTAAATAAATGCGCGTGCATGCAATACTACCATTTCGAGTTCGCCTTTGCTCAGTCTTAGCTTCGATTGTGTACAAATGTGTTCTTTAAGTAAGGAATGTACGTACTACGGAACAATACGAGTTGTTAAAATGCCACGGGTTTTGGTTGAATAGCTGAATATTATAACGCATAAACGAGACTAAGACTGAGCAAAGAGAACTCGAAACTGGAGTATTCAACCAATCGGTGTTTACCATAAAATAAACGCAAGACGATTTCGCTAGATCGTCGTTGTCCATTCACGGTCGTCCAATCGCCGCTTAGCATATCAAATCTCGCCGAAGATCAACCAATCAGTGCACAACCTGAAGTTGATGCGAATCAATGATAGCCAATCAATTAAATCTTCACAAAAGAATCAGCACAAATCATCATATCCAATCATCTCCTAGCTCGAAATTGATGTGGGTTTTTTTTAACCAATCAGCGTGCAACATAGAATAGTCTCCTCCTTCATGATGCGATAGCAGCCCAGCTAATAGTTTCTTCGTTTAATCTTGTTAAACATCTTTTATCTGTGTTTTGAACTATTAAGCTCTGTTGGATGTTTAATTAGGAACTAGCTTACAGCACGATTTCTCTTTTCGATAAGTTTATCAATACATCTATTTTCACATATCGGACTTAATAATGTAATGTAAACATCAAAGAGTTTGTAATTATAATAAGGAATAAAATAATAAAAAGCGATAGTGGTTGTCTAGTTCTTGAATTAGAAGTTCAGTATCAAGGCGGAAAAGAGCTAGAGGATGCTTAGATTAAAATTACAACATGATTAGTAAGATATAAGAGCTAGTCAATGTAAGATTTTATTGAACACTCTCAAATTTTACCTTGCTTCTGACGCTTTCATTTTCGATAACTTCTTTTTGACCAACGTAATTAATTGCATGAATATATCGATAAGCTACGGAAGGATTTAGACACTGACACACTTCAAAGAATTGAAAGCAGCTACAATCTTATGTTTTTTATCTTCTTTATTTATCCTCAATATGAAATTTGTAGAACAAGTAGCGACAAAAAAAAAAAAAAAAAAAAAAAAAAAAAAAAAAAAAAAAAAAAAAAAAAAAAAGATTTGTCTGTCGTCAAACTCACGTAAACAAATTTGATCTATGCGATGATTGGCTAAAAACGCGACCTATGGCTATCTGACTTGTCCAGTTTTGACAGGTAATGACAGATCTGTACAGGCTGGCATACAACTGGTTTATCGCATTTGTTCAA